CACCCATTCACACACACACAAACACACACACACACACACACACACAGAGCATGCTGTCTGTCAGGGTGTCTGAGCAATCTGGCCTGACATCAGAGAGGCTGGCAGTTTCAGAGTGTGATGAGTGCCAGTGCTCACTATTAGTCCACACATTCATCTCATAGCAGACTCACACATTCAGTACGTCACAGAAGTGCGTGTGTTTGTGTGTGTGTGTAAATGTGTTTGTGGGCTGACCACAGTGGCCGAAGCCATGGGAAATTTGCTACGACGATGAGGGGAAACAGTTCCATCCACACATAAAGACACTTTTAAGCAAAGGTAAGTGAAGGTAAGAGAGACAGGTAGACAGAGATACAGCAATGAATGGCTAGATTGAAAATAGAAGAGCGAAAGACGGACAGACAGACAGACAGACCGACTGACGGGCAGAGAGCGGCAGCTCTGTACTTTGCATGAGTATATTTGCCCTAGCATCTCTAAACAGTTAGGAACAGATTCGGCACTATATTTCTACAGAGCAGTCATGTGAACTAGCCAATAGGACACACACAGACACACACACACACAGACACTGTGTGATGCATTATATAGATGTTTACAAGGTTACACAAGGTCACCAAGGCTTGAAAGGAAAAGTACTGCAAGAGAAGAGGACAGAAATGCTGCTTTGCAACCAATTGTATGAGTGCCTTAAACTTTAAGAGGAACGGTTCCCATTCGACTAAGCAGATGGGATGCGTTCTCACTTTCACCCACTCACTGTTGTCACCCACTCACTCTTGGTTCCTCTTGTTTTGCCTTTTTGTGTCTAAGTACAAGAAAAAAAAAAGTTGTTCTAAAGATGAGACAAGCGTGAACTGGGCGTAGAAGTGTGAAGAAAATGACGAAAGTGAGTGTGACTGAGAATAGAAGATGAAGAAAAACGCGAGCGAGTCAGAAGAGGAGAGAGCAGACACGGTGAAAGAAGTCTGCTGGATGCTACTGGTGAGGAAAAAGGAGAAAGAATCTAAGAATGCAAAATTATAACGCAGAAAACAAGGCAATGAGCAAAGCGAGAGGAGGAGGAGGAGGAAGGATCTTTGTATGTGTGCCAGAGGAGCAGAGGAAGCCTGTAAGACAGAGAGGGGATATCCTGCCTCACCGCCTCGCCACTCCTGCTACGTTTGCTTATGTCCGCTAACACGCTAACGCATAGGGTCCACAGGACACAGGGATGAATACCAGACCATGACACATACACAAGGGACTGCTCACAGTCACACACGCCGGTACTGCAACAACACAATAACATGTCTATTAATGTCCTGTTTACGCACAAAAAACTGAGACGGCACATCTGATCCATACAGTGTGTGGCTTCCTAGTCTGAGTCACAAATGTATGTGTGAATGAGAGAGGGAGTATTTTCAGTGACACTTATTTGGTGGTCTCATTCAGTGCTGATGATGCACACCATGAGTCACTGGCTTAAGCATTTGGGCAATTCAGCCACTTAAAAGGCTATCCATGGTAATAATATGAGTTTATCATTCATGTTAACTCCTGATTCCGGAGGCACAAATGTTAATCCAACAAAAACACCATTCTCTCCCGGGGGCGAATGTCACACACTCATCATGAATCACACACAGCTGAGAGCTGAAAAACACCATACTGCCATCTGGGGGAATGAGGCACGGGAAACAAATGAATTTGTGTGTTTTAAAAGGTACCGCTCTTTGTAGATGCTCCCTCACAGTGTTGACATTCTCAGCACACTTCCCAGGGGTATCCCACAGTGCTGTGCTGCAGAGGCTGGTTACCTAGTTACGGCGTGGTGTGCATACAGTATAGCAGCGATGGATATTATCAGCATGTGTGAGCGTGTTCACTTGTTTTTAATAATTGGTGCTTCTGTCGGTAGGAAACTGCACTTGCTACAGTAAAGTAGGATATACAGTAGTATGTAAATACAAATGTAAAGCATGAAGATACATGAGGAGAACATGAAGCAATTAACATCAGGAATCTTCACCCTAGACGTATGTGCTCATATTCGAGTGTGTGCTTGATTCTCCACGG